AATAAAGTCGCAGAACTTTGTCCCCAGCGCTTCAATAAGCACACAGTAAGATCCTGGGATAAGCGCAGGTGTAGACAGAGGGCAGTGGGATAGGGCAGTGGTGGCGAACCTGTAGCACGCGTGCCATGCGGGGTGTTTGCATCATTGGAAGCTCTAAGAGGTTTGCCGTCTCTGGTGTCAAGGCTGCAGAAGTAAACCTGTGTGTGTGTGGTCACAGTGTCAGGACTATTCCATGAAGAGAATATTTTTTCAACAAGCGGGGCTGTGACAATTAGACGCCCCCAGCAAAAGAATCAATTTCGGGTCCTCTCTCCCATCACTTACAAAATTAATTCAAAATGGATCAAAGTCCTAAATGTAAGAACTAAAAGTATAAAACTCCTAGAAGAAAACATAAGTAAAGATATACATGACCTTACATGAGGTAATGCTATGAACTCATGACCTTGTGCTTGCCAGGCAGGCGCTGTGCCGCTGAGCTAAATCCCCAGCCCCAGGTAATGCTATCTTAGTTAGGACACTAAAAGCATAAGCAGCTGAATAAAAATAAGATTTCATTACAATTAAAACTTTTTTAAAAATCTTTTTGAGACATGGTCTTGCTATGCAGTTCAGGCTGGCCTTGAACTCACTTGCAGCCCAGGCTGGTATTGAACTCACAATGATCCTCCTGCCTCAGCCTCCCCAAGTGCTAGGATGACAGGCGTGCACCACCACAGCCAGCCAAAATTAAAAACTTGAATGCCAAGGCACTATCAAAAAAGTTAAATTAGGCTAGCTATGGGGGTGAAAGCCTGTCATCCCAACACCTGAGAGTCTGAGGGAAAAGGATCACCACAAGTTTAAGGTCAACCTGGGCTACATAGCAAGATCCTGTCTCAAAAAGCAAAGAGAATTGAGCATGGCAGTTCATACCTATAATCCCAGCTCCGCTGGAGCCTGAGGCAGAAAGATCACAAATTTAAGCCCAGTCCCGGCAATTAAGTGAGACCCTGTTTCAAAAATAAAATTTAAAAAGGGCGAGGGATATAGCTCAATGTAAGACCATAGGTTCAATCCCCTACTGAAAAAGAAAAAAGTTAAAAGATAATCCACAGGCATGGTGGTACATGCCTGTGATCGTAGCACTTAGGAGGCTGAGGCAGGAGGATCAATGCAAGGTCGAGGCCAGCCTGTACTACAAAGTGAGCTCAAGGCCAGCCTGAACTTCACAGTAAGACCCTGTCTCAAAAAGACAAAAAAAAAAAAAAAAAAAAAAAAAGCCACAGAATGGGGGAGACATATTGCAAACAAATTTGACAAGGGTCTTGCATTGGGAATATGTAAAAACTGTTACAACTCAATAAGGACAAATGACTCAATTTAATATCAGGCACATGCTTAGAACAAGCATGTCTCCAAAGGAGACATACACATGGTTAAAAAATACATGGATGGGGCTGGGGATTTAGCTCAGTGGCACAGCACCTGCCTGGCAAGTGCAAGGTCGTGAGTTCAATTCTTGGCACCGGAAAACAAACAAACAAACAAAAAAGTACATGGAAAGATCCCCAGCATCATGAACTGGTAGAGAGCTCCCAATCAAAAGCATGGGTAGCCGGGCATGGTGGCACATGCCTGTAATCCCAGCACTCAGGAGGCTGAGGCAGGAGGCTCACCATGAGTTTGAGGCCAGCCTGGGCTACATAGTGATATCGTGTCTCAAAAAGACCAAAAAAACCAAACCAAAACAAAACAAAAAACCCACAAGATAGTGATTCACTCCAACAAGTATGGCTGTAATCAGAACTGCAGCAACAGAGCCGGGTGTGGTGGCGCATGCCTGTAATCCCAGCACTCGGGAGGCTGAGGCAGGAGGATCTTTTC